ATATGGAACTACATACCTAAAAGTCTTTTACTACAAAGATTCTACAATTTAAATTCACCTAACACATCTTGGTGGTTCTTTCTCCTCTCACATAGAAACAAATGTTAAGTCTTTTGAGGCTCAGGCAATGATTTATTGGGAATTGTTTCAATCTACTAAAATGTTCCCCGTCTTTAACACAATCATGGGCAATCCCCTTGGGTTTGGAGATCATCGCTGAACTAGTCAGGCCTAGGAAAAAAGGTAGATTCCTGAGCTTCCACAACAGGGTCACTCCCGTAGCTTCTTAGTGACCATAGACAGAGTATACCCAAAATAAGGATGAGAAATAGGAGTTTAGAACCAACAAAATATGAAGCACTCTATAAAAATTCAGTGAAAGTTTTAAGTTTCCCAGTGATGCCGGTAGAGAAAAAGAAAACAGGACAGAAAATGGCATCGCAGCCAACAAATGAGGCAGGACATGGAATTAATGATTCTTTTCAATAAACTGAGATACTGAATCCATTACAGAGCCTTAAAAGAAAAGAAGTTGAAAGATCAGAGAATGATCAAGACATTATAAACGTATTCACGGAAGTAATCAACACCTGAGCACACACAGGTTAGCACCCCACGTACAGAAGGGACACTTAACAAAACCTGACTTCAGCGACTATTTAGGGAAGGCACAATTAGTGCTGCTTTGGAAGAAAAGCCTCTAAGAAAAGGATATAGGAAAGAAGGAAAATGTGGTGCCACCCCTTCCATAAAAAGTAGAAAAAGTTCTGAAAATTCCTGCTTTTAACAACAATTCCACAGTTTCTTCAGATTCAGATGAAGCAAAATATCTCCTCAGAAAACAATGTATATATACATGTGTATGTATTTAATATTTTTATTAACTACATTGGTTATATCAATATATTAATATTTTTAAAGATGTATTTTTTCTATTTATGAGAGAGAGAGAGAGAGCATGTGCGTGCACATGTGCGAGCCAGCGCAAGTGGAAGGAGAGACAGGGGGAAAGGATCCCAAGCAGACTCTGTGCTGAGGGGAAGCCAAGCCAACAAGGGGCTAGAGGCGGGGCTCTATCTCACAACCCTGAGATCATGACCTGAGCCGAAACCAAGAGCCCGACGCTCAACCAACTGAGCCACCCAGGCACCTCTCAGTATATTAATAGGCTTATCACCAATATGTATACTTATATAATTAACACATAAATTTATATTCATGTAAGTTTATATTTAATGATGTAATAAACAGACTCTGTTAAGGAAGAAAAAGAAGGGCACAGGACTGAGTCCTGGAACAATCTGACATTTAGAGAATGGACAGAGAAGATAAAGTAAACAGTGAATTCAAAGCCCAGCCAATAACCTGTAACTTCATTAAGCCTCCCTTTCTTGTCCCCCTCCAACCCCAGCCACGCACACACACACACACCAGTGTTTGGGCCTTTGGACTGTGGTGTTATGAGGAAGCTACACAGCTGGATTACCCTCCCTTTTTGAGAAAGAAAATAAAAGTGGTCACTTTACTAAGCCAATTCTAACTATTTCTCCCTCCCATATCATTCTTGGCTTTAATTTTTTGTAATTTTTTTTGGTCTTCAGACATTACAGAAGTAAAACTACGAACATCCTAAGTTTTAGCATATTCCCTAATAACCCTTTTAGCTTGGTCCTTTATTACTGTTCTCTCAACATGTATACTGGAGTTCCCTAATTATAACTGACTATATAAATCACTGTAATACCACTTAATCTTTTGACTTTGGAAGTGCAATAATGAAAGTAAGGGATTTATTTAAGTGAAGAAGCCTCATTCATCACATCATACTCTTGTATGAATGTTAAGGACGATGGGAAACTGAGGTCTTGAAGGGACAATTTAAATGTTAATTGACCTAATGAGGAAATTAAACAAAATGTATAATTTGCTCCATAATGAGGCCTTGGATATAATTAGCATATTTTATTTCTTAACCCCAGAAAAACCAAGTGATGAATTTGTACTAAGTCTAAAAAAAATAGTTACTACCACCCATGTGTTCGGAATTGAATTTGCTATAAAAAAAAGTTTCATAATCAACTCAAAAACCCATAAATACATGTCAGTTAATCAACTCAGCCTAATGTAAGTTTTAACAAAATATATTTCTCCCAATGATTTAAATATATGGGTTTCTTTAAAGTTGAAGAAGTGTTTTGAAGTACTTTTTCTTGAATTCCAAATACCTTTAAAGCATATTATAAAATGAGTTACCAACTGAAGACCATTTGGTGAATAAGTGCTCCTTTTTAATTTTGTAAATTCAGGAGGGAAAAAGAAAAAAATCCTGCAAAATCTATACACATTCTCTGGTCTGATATGTAGGAACAAATGTTGATGTCAGCAAAAAAGTGCATGTAGTTTTAATTATCTTAAGTGGAAACTCCTACAATGGGAGTTTTCAGAAGAAATCCACAAAATGGAAATGATTCTGGGAAAAGATCCTAATGGAGGACAGCGTTGTATGGAACAATCTCTGAGAAGCCACTGTGTGATGCCTGGGAAAATGTCCTGTGCCTCTCCAAGTCAAAGTCACCTCAGGGGTCTATTTTTCAACCTTCCCATTTCTGAAAATTAAGGAACTCTATTCTAGAGGAAGAATCAAGGAAACGTCTGTAACTTATTCAATTATTGCAACTCTAGATAAGGAACGTTTTAAAGCCACACAGAATGTGAGGAGGAAATGTAGATGGCACAGCACATGGCGGATTTGGGCTCACAGTGATTGTGTCAGGTCAGACTTTATGCCCCAACAACAAATTTCAGAAAACAAGCAACTCTGAGTGTAACTATTACTGGACTGAAAACGGAGAACTTCACATAAACATACATCTTATTTAATTGAACAAAATGTATGACTTTGTAAAATTCATGCACTTCTATTTTGGAGAGAGTACAATGACCCCAAACAACAGTGCAGTTAAAGCTGTGATTAATCGAATTGTTGTTATTCCTTTATTTTCAAACAGACACTTTACTCCAATTCTTTTTAAGAGGAATAAAAACCTTCCTTTTTATATCTGGTCTCTAAAATCCAAGTAAAAGGGAAAAATAAATTTATTCATTAATCCATTGATAGATACATTCATTCATATATGCATACTTTTAATAAATCCCTGTCATCCCCAAATCAGGCTGTCAGAATGTTAAAGAAACAGCAGTGATCCGGGGCGCCTGGGTGGCTCCGTTGGTTAAGCAGCTGCCTTCTGCTCAGGTCATGATCCCAGGGTCCTGGGATCGAGTCCCGCATTGCGCTCCCTGCTCAGTGGGGAGCCTGCTTCTCCCTCTGCCTCTTCCCCATGCTCATGCTCTCCTCTCTCTCTCTCCAGTAAAATCTTTGAAAGAGAAAGAAAGGAAAGAAAGGAAAGAGCAGTGATCCTGTAGACTAGAATGTAGGTGAGGTGTCTGGCACATGGTCTCCTCAGAACAGATATCCTCATGCTCCCAGTGAAATCCCTAGTTCACCTGGCAGAGGTCAGGCAATCTCTCTCAACATCCCCACAGCATGAAAATATAAGACATCTGCCATTCCTGCAGGTGCAGCATGCTCCCTATCACCTCTCAAGATGTATCCCCATCATTTAAAATAGGCAGATATCTCCATGGCTCAAAAGACTCATAAAGGTCACGCAGTAGGCAAGAGGAGTTTATGCTATTCTGCAGGAATTATATCAACGGCGGCAGTTGCTTTATGTCCTTTAGTTCTTCCCACATTATAAAGCTGCCCTGACTGAGTCATCTTTTCTGCTTCTTTTCTTTTACTACAAAGATCACTAAATTTCCAATTCAGTGGCTGCTTCAACCCATGTTGTACCCATGATATATGGCAGCCCACGCCATGCTACATCCCAACTGCAGCCATGGTACATGAACAAAACAGAACAAAACAACGACCATTTAAGACCGACCCTGTGGCCAGGGACCATACTAAATATTTTTCACACATCATCTCATTCAATCTTCACAAGAAACCTATGAAGGAAACACCATTGTGTCAATGAAAAATATAAGACTCAAAGACATTAAGTAATATGCCCAAGATCAAATAGCTTGAAAGTGACAGATGCATCATTAGATCTGCCAGAGATCCATCCATCCAGAGATGATACTTTACTAGCTACAATTTTCTGCAACCAACATGGGCAACCATAAAAGCAAAAAATGGATACAGGTTAGGATCAGAATTTCTCAGATGTGAATGCTGTGCACACTATTTTAAAAAGGTAATATTTTGCAAGGATTGTAGTTTGAAAATTAGTACAGGTTTTTATCAGGAGCAAACACCAGAATGCCTTCACAGACCTTAGAAATACAATTGCGCTTTAAGCTAACAAATCAATATGGGATCTGAGCAAACACAAATGGGCATCTTGGATGTGGACCAGCTACCAGGGCCGGTAGGCCTCGACCGATCCAGATCCATGGGGAGGTACTGACATATTGAACATACTTAAAGAACATGTACTTCAAAAGGAAGCTTGCCAAATCTCAGAGCTGTAAAAAAGGAGAGTCGGCAGTACAAACATACCCACTGAAGCCCTAAGGAAGAAGTCCAGTAAGACTAAGCCAATAGACCACCTCGCAAATAGGCATCTATTACGGAGAAAGACACGACGGTATCGGGCTACCTGTGCCTAACACATTCCATACACATACTTCTCGCCTCTCTAAGAAGGCAACCCCCCTCACAGCTTAACCACGGGGAGAAAAAAACAGCATCATGGCAATGTCAATTATCTGCTCCATGTCATGGTGGTCATCCAGTGACAACCAATTTCATCTAGTGATAAAAGCCCTTCTGTGGGCTTTATTAGCCAGTGACCACTGACCAATTTCCAAGCCCACAAATCTTGGGATTCCCCAAGGTGAACACTACTGAATGGGAGTCACCATAGATAACACCTTTGGTGTTCTTGAATGAAACAAAGCAACTGGACACATTTTTGTTTGCATGCATTTACCTTTTCACCATCTCTCCCTGGTTCTCCTTTGTAACCTGGTAGTCCTGGGACTCCCTAAACCAAGCACAGAATAAATTCTGTTAATTATGTTTTTTGGTTCACTGGAAATGTTTAATTCTTCAGTGTGTACCTATGAATCACATACTTGTACTCCTGGAGATCCTGGGACACCTGGTGATCCTGCAATTCCCTGATATCCCTAAAGAAAAGCAAACACAAAATAATTAGTATTTCAACATACAAAGAGCAGTCCCCATTTCAGGATTCACTCTTTTCTTGAGTGTCTTACACTTAAGACTTCACTGGGTGACGGTTTAAGAAACAAAAATAACAAAGTTTCAAATGCTGAATGTGGAATTAATATCCTCTGTCTTTAGGGAAAAGGTCTTAAATATCTCTAGATTAATAAAAAATATCCAGATATGTTTCAATGACATGGAAGGCTCTGGGATGCAAATACAGAGCCAATGTTCAAAGCTCCTAAAAAAAAATGTTTTGCACATATTCAACATAGAAACATATTCAACATATTCAAGAGAAAAACATGTAAGATTGGAGGATTACACTAATGTAATACATTTTTTAAACTACCGAATTAATGGCCATTTGAGTTGATCTCCGGAATAAATTAGAACTTGATAAATGTTATTCTTCAGGGTCAGTCTGTAACAGCCTTTTGGATTGCTCATTTTTAGAAAGCTGCTGCTGTTAACCCCATAAGCATGGCTGTGACATGTCTCCCCCACCTCCCACGGCTGAGCTGTCTGCCGAGGCGAGGGCCCCTTTCAACTCCACTGCTTCTTACATGTCCCCCCAGACAGTGGACCTTTGGTACTACAGCACAACTTCTTCAGACAAGGCAAACTATTCATTCTTCACTCAGCATATGGCAATTAAACTCCAAAACAAACTTGCAGGCCCAGAACATTTGTCTAGGTTTCTCTGGGTCAATGTCAAGTTGACTTAGTCCACCTGGCACCTGCAAATACATTTCTCTCTCTTATTTAGATTCCATCTCTCTCAGATCTTACTGTTTGGATATGGCTTTCTGTTGTCAGCCATATTAAAACAGATCTCATTAGTGTTTCCAATTACATCTTCATTGTTAAATACAAAAGCTTCATTTCCATGTGGCTATTTATGGCTGGTTTTTGTATTCACCCACTCACTTGTCAGCACATTTCTAGCTGTCATTTTAGAGATAGCACGACTCCCTGCTTTCCCACTCCCATTTTTAAATATTCCTTTTACTATGCTTTGCTAGCTCTAATAATACCAGTAACAATAATAATGGTTGTCTCAGCAACAGCACTCCTAAATTATTGTTTTTCTCCTTTTACATGCACTTGTATTTCTTACTCTGTAAAATGTTCCCAGTTACTCTCCAAATGATAGACTATATAATTTCTAGCGCCAACCATGATCCTTTCCTTCATACCCCATTCAGTTCTTCACAGAGTGTATCACTACACTTTCTCTAGCATTTCTCACACAAATTCTTCTCCTGAGTCCGTGCCCAAACGTTTAACATTTTACTTCGTCAGTGAATGAGTCTCAAAACAAATCTCTCCATACTCCATACAAAACAATCTGCAGTATTCAAACCCAACATATGTCTCTGGGCAGCCACTGTCTCTGTGTCCCGGGATTATGTGCCCCTTGATATGAGAAACCCGGTCCAATTCATTTCTTTATTTCCAGTATTGAACAAAGCATTCGGCAATTTTTTGTTAACCACACTTCGGACAAATTTACCTTCAAATCATCCACACTGCACTAAGTGTGCAATATCTCTTTCCCCAAGGAACCAGGTGATGTCCATGCTGCTACCAGGAGCAAACTGAAGCTTTTAGTAATGCCCTGTGCTTCCTGTTCTCAAGATCAGTCGGAAGAAAGAAGAAAGTCAATCTACACAGTTTGCTGAGCCTTTTTTCTCTACCACTCCAGTTACCACTGAATCTCTTTCCTTCAACCACTTTGCAGTCAGATAGGTCTGGAATTAAATTTCAACTCTGTCACTGCTAGCATATGCCCAAACGGAGTTAGATTAACTTATAACTTCTGCCACTTAGGGTGCCTCCAAGTCCTTCAAAACCCTGTATGCACTCTCTGGATAGTCCGACATGATACACAACAGGCTGTTGTAATTGGGAGAAACAATAATAGCAATGATTTATACAGTATTTGTCATGTTCCAGACTAAGTACTTCACATATATTAATTCACTTAACCCTCACAACCACCCTTTAATGTAGGGTCTACATTATCCCTATTTTCAGATGAGGAAACCAAGACATAGAAGATTAAGTAACGTGCCCAAAGATACATAGCTAGTAAGTTGAAAGAGCCAGTGGGAATACCCTCTATCAGAAAATGCTTCATGGTAGATCAGATCTTATGATTCTAGAATAATTAATGAGATTTTTTTTAAAGCCCATTTTGCAAGGCTACTTTTAAATTGTTTAGAATATGGAGTGCCCAAAGAAAAGGAATGTTCATATAATTCCTCAAAAGAAAGTTACCATGGAGATTGGCTATTTACCAAAATGACCGGTCATCTGCAAAAATCACTGTAATGAATTGTTCTTTTTCACAATTTTTGAAAAGTTAAGCCAAATATCGTATCTGCTTTATTACTTTTTTCACAAAATGAATCTTTTGTAGAAAATCAAAAGCCATTCTCTTCCTCGAAGAAGTTAATATGATCCATTTGTTAGAGAGGACACACCACATTTCAATGGATTAAAGCAAGGTGGAGATGCCCCAGACTGTGTTCCCAGCTCACCTCTGACTCATAATGTGACCTCAGGCAGAGTGATCAAATCCCCAAATCCTGGGAGGCAACTCAGTAAAGTGGAAAGACAACGAATTTTGAAATTGGAAGACCTTGAGCTGAATTTTTGCTCCTCCCTTTACTTTCTACGGAATTCTGGCTAAGTGACATTGCCTAGCTAAGCCTCAGTTTCTTACCACAAACCAGGATAACAGTGCCCACTTCAACTTCTGAAAAAAATCAAATGGAGTCACAGGTGAAAATGCCTGGCAAATGCTAGGAACTCAGATGTGAGTTTCTTTTTTTCTTCTTCAGATTCAATGACTTTTGTACAAAATCATGAGAACACTTCTGCAAAATGTTATTCTGTAGGCTTAATGGGCACCATTAGTACACAAGGAATGGCAGATCCAGATGTCATCATGTCGTCATTTTGATTTAACCCTTTTTCAACATTTATATAGATCTGATGGTGAACATGAGAACAAGGCTTCAGTGTGTTTTACAAAGGCCATGTTTGTTTTATCTTTGGAAGAACTGCAATGAAAAAATAATAAATGCTTCCCACAATATGAGAACCAGGTTGATATATTTTGTTTTTAACTTACAATGAGATGCATTCTTGAAAACTTAGTTGTATAAAGAAATTCTAAGATTATTTTAGAAGCTAGAGGAAGCATGATTAGCAAGAAAAATCAACCCACACCCAAGCTGGGGGATCCCAGGGAAAATCACCAGAAGAAATTGGATGAAATTCAGAAAAATAAATTTTGGACTAAAAATCAGGAAAATAAAGGTTAATAGGGAGGAATATTACAACACAGAACAATTTCCAAGAGGTGCAAAAACTAAACACTGGTTGACTCATAGCAGGGTACACTTAAACAAGAAAAAATGCCCTGAAACAGGAAAAATGATAAGCTTTCCATAGAGCTTATGGAGTTTTTATTTTTCTTAATACACAAGCTTCTGTGTTTTCCAGTGGGAGTACCATTTTTACATGATCTTTGATCAATACTGTCTGACATTAATTTTGCCATTTTGCAATTATTAGCAGATCTAAATATCCACCCTGCCCCATGTGCAAGACTTCTGACAGTAAAGTCTTTTCCATGTTCACAGAACGTCTCTTTGTAAATGAGTCATTTTTTAGGAAAAAAATATTCTCACTGCCAAATTGTAGGGTTGGAGAATACAGAATCAATTTAATTTTCCTCCATGATTCATAGTTACAATGCTCCAGGAAAGATGTATAGCACTGAAATGGAAATTAAGGAAATAAAAATCATCCAATGTGCAAGGCTCACAATCTCTTCTGAGCCCAATTCTAATCAGACCATAAATTATCCTGCCAATCTCAATATACAGATCTTAAGTGATCAATTTCCTTTAAGTATTTTAAACTCTAAAAATGAGAATAAAATCCAGAGACATCATGTTGGATGTCACTCTTCTTTTTGAAATGTAAAAATGTGATTCAAAGTTTATTCTATTACATAATTTTCTTCTGTTTTCCAAAATTCCCACAGATACCCTTCAGTACACAGCCAGGGTAACTAAGTAACCAAAATCAAGTGTATATTTTTAATGTCCACCGTGGATTCTTCTTGCCATCGGCACTCTTTCTAGCTCCACACAATTAAATTCCAAAAATATTCATAAATCTCGGTCTTTTCATGTATAGCTAATACAGAAACTCGTTTGTTTGCCACCTAACCCAACTGTTAGTCAAGTAGTATATATGCCTGAACTGTCTGCTCAAATTACTTGACCAACAGATCCCATAATATACGTAAAATTACACCTGAGCTGAGTTCTAAGAAAGATGCTATGGGAGGTAAAGAGTAGACAGGGAAGCTTTCTGAGTGGTAAGTTCAAAGCAACACCGAAGGAAGCACAGTGCAGAGGAACAATTCCTTGAAGAATTTAATACACAAATAATAACACTATGTACTATCTACATACACATCGTTATTATATATACTATCCATACTATATAAAAAATAAGTAGCCTATTTAAGAGGCCCATGAGGAAAACATGGAGAGATCCATACATGAGATTTACACATGGGGAGTGCTGGAGAAAAATTAGTCGACAAAGCTTTGTCTAGGTAAGCTTTACAGAAAAGTTTTAAATCACATTTTGTTATAGAAAAGATAAATTGCCCAAGTGTAAGAGAATTCATTTGAGGCAAATGGTCCATATTTTAGTCTACCAGTGAGCCTCTCATGAGGGATGTGTGTGTGTGTGTGTGTGTGTGTGTGTGTGTGTGTGTGTGTGTCTGTGTGTGTGTTTTATGGTACCGGGAGACAGTGAGACAATAAAGCTTTTTGCTAAAGGAATCCAAAATGAGGTGAAGTGAGAGCTCAGGTAGAAACTGCCTTCTCTAGACAAATGTTTCATACACTTCATCATTAAGCCACAT